ACCGGCACAGCCGCGGCTGAACGGTGTTTGCACCACTCTGCTCGGCACCATCCCTGCCTGCTGCAGGGGCGGCTCCCCAGGGCACGCAAGGTGACTGCAAATGCTGCAGATAGGAGGTTTAAAAAACATATTCTGACAGCAAGGCTGATGGTGATAATGTTTTAATTGGGTAATGTGCATCCCTAGTGCAGTTTCCTGCTGCACATTTTCATTATTTTGAGATTCATGGGCCTTGGCCACTTTTCTGTGGCTCTAACCAGCTTGGCATAGCCCTGTGGTGCACATTATCCAGCCAGTGCAGCTTGCGAAGTGGGGCCCCAGGGCACACTTCTCTAGGCCTCTGGGGTTAACACTGACACCAAAGATGCCCTGGCAACATCAGCACCCACTTTGTCAGGGAGCCCCATGTTGGAGGCAGTCGTAAAAACAACCACTCTTTTTAGGAGTGTCACGGTAAGTGGATACAGAAGGTCTCCAACCAAGTGTCACTCGCAATCTTACCCTCCCTGTCTTAACACAGACATGCATACAGGCCTGCACCACACACATACACACAAAATGCCGATACGTTTTCATAGCTTTAATAATCTCACTATTTTCAGCATGTTGGGCACTGCTCAGGTTTTTGCAGAGCTTGGAATGACTCCTGTGCATGGTGGAGTCTGTGTCTCTGCTAACAGCTTCTCTTACGCATAGGTAGGAGACCATGGCCAAGAGCAGCTTGTGCAAAACCCTTTCCCCTGCCAGACGACCATAGATCCGTCCCACTGCATGATCTATGTCCTTACAGCATGAGCACCTTTCCCTGGGGCTGGGCTCTAATGAACTCTTTGGCTGCCAGCAGCGGCCAGCAGAGCTTCCATACGACGCCCCATAGGAACTTCAGCCAAAGCTGGGGCATGTGAGAAAGAGAGAGAACAAACTAGCTGCTCTTTCAAAATGAGGTTTTCCGTCTGACAAATACTCAGAGCTTGTGTGCATCCTCAGTACCAGTGCTCAAAAAACCAAACGTGGAGTCTCTACCAAAGAAGCTTTCTGCCCGTGGGTAGGCCTGCTGGTTTTGTTTGCTGTCTTCAAGTACTTATACGCTGCGTGAACAGAAGAATAGACTGACAACTCTACATAGTAATGTTGATTCCAGTTGGAAAATGGAACAAGCAAATCTCTCAAGCTCATCATTGTCCTCTGGTTAACTCTAGGATAGACTGATTGAAATGTCATCAAAATAGTGATGGTTACTTGGAGCTCTTGCTAGAAAATGCTCTCACCATTACCATAGCCTGTAAAATAGGGTAGATGGCAGAATTGCTGGGAAATGTATGGCAAAAAAAAAAAAAAAGAAAAAAAGAAAAAAAGCCTGATAGATAGAGCCTGAGTATCTTGTCAAGCCAAGAGTTAACGACAGGAGGAGAAGAAAATAGGCTTCCTTCTCTAATCACCAGCCATGCCATTTTCAGGTTTAATCAAACTCAACACTGCTGTGGCTACAAAAGCTTAATTCCCAAGTACATTCCAGGCAGCACTGCCTCTGCCCTGCCAGACACGGTAGCACAGAGTGATCCTGCTTGGTCTCATTTACAGGGACACAGCTCTCCACGTTTCTGCAAAATCCCATGTCGAGTCCTTGAAGAGACCGTAAGCCCCAAAGATCTTCTGTGCTCATGAGTCATGGTGGGTGGGATATTTCCACTGAAACAAGCTTTAATGAAAAGCAAAGGAAAGAGATAACCAGTATCTGTCTTTGATCAGTTTTATCAGAAGCAATAGTTTTTTTCTGGTGATTTGTTTTGTCAGAATGCGCTACTTTTTATATCAGAAATCAAGATCCAAGTATTTTAAACCCATAAAAATTAACAGTGCTACTGGAAACAAGAGTGTGATACTTAATTATCATTGAGCTTTGAAAGGTAACTCCATGGCATTGTGAATTTGGGGGGATTTATGAAGAAGTAATGTGTTATACAGAAATTATTTTATGTATTTGACGTTGCTTTAGTGATGTTAAGAGAAGTCTTGCTGTTAAAATACCATTACTCTATGTGAGTGTAATAGGGAATGCATCCCTGATCTGTCAGTCTCCCCTGTTACCAGGGTCCTCAAACTCTGCAAGAAAACTACCCTTAATTCCCCTAATCCCAGTGAGTGTAATAGGGAATGCATCCCTGATGTCAGTCTCTCCTGTTACCAGGGCCCTCAAACTCTGCAAGAAAATTACCCTTAATTCCCCTAATCCCTTAACTGTAAAAATATGCTAGTCTTTTGACCAGAAAAAAATAAATGTTATTTCGAAATACATAGGAAGGAGACACAGCTACAGGGAACGGGGCAGTTGGGAGTGGTCCTGTACTCCGGGAGTCTCAAGTTTGACTGTGCTGGACTGTACGTGTTTTCAGTTATCTGGAGGAAGTTTATTTAGTTTTATTTCAGGCAAAAATAGGAGACACATAAGAAGCTTTACAAAAAGTCTGCATAAGCCTGAGGTGAGGTGTGAGCAGCCAGGTGCTTCAGTGGATATTCACTGGGACTAGCAGAGTTGTCTCTGATTAAAGGTTTTCCCTTGCCAGCAATGACTCATACAAATGATCTTTTCTCTTTGTATATTATCTGGTGTTTAGCTATTAGAGTTCTCTATGGTTTTCCATTTTTACAAAAAGAAATGTTAGCACATTTCCCAGTTTAGGATTTTAAGCCTTTTTCTGGTCCAGTCTTTAAGGAACAGAATATCCTGAAATTCTTTGTGTTCTTTGCCTCTCAGACAGTGTTTCTGGAGGGTCTTCAAATTATCCATTGTGCACTGTTTCTATATCTGCCCTGCTCAGCTATTATGCTACTACTGTTTAAAAAGCTATTGAAAACAGTGTTATTTTTCTCTGAATTGTTTATGCTGTGATTCTATGACTCTATGTGCGCTTACGCTATAGAAACTTAATAGGAACATCTGTTAAGTATGTAAGTGGTATGTGTGAATTGATTTATCATCATAACTTCTCTAAAAATGTAACCTCTTAAATGTCCTTTGCAAAACAGACTGCCAGAGAGGTCCTCAGATAATCCATGTTCTTACAGGTCTCAGCAGGTTTATCTGAGGCAAGTGACAATGCCAGGTAACTACTGAATACTTCCTAATGAAGGAGTCAATATTTGTCATTGAAGGACAAATAATTAAGTAAATACATAAATGTATGCATGATTAGAGCTAAGAGCTGTTTTAATATTTTCTCTAAAACAATATAATATAGTTCATGTCCTTTTCTTAAATTTTGTAATACCAATAAACACCAGACCAAAGTTTACCTCCAGAAAATTAAACTTTTAATTTTATGCAATATACTCAAACTACAATCTCAGAGCATAAACTTAACAGAACCCTTCATTAAAACCGTAAGAAAAAAACACTGTGGCTATGTATAAGAGAAAAACATTTTGCTAAATGCAAATATATTTATCAGGCATACGAGGAGAAGTGCCCCTTGCTGAAGCCTACGCTGCAGGCGTGACAGCCTTTTGACTGTCTGGAGCCTTTTGGGCCTTTTGACTTTCTGGAGATGGTTCCGTTTTTTTGCCTGCGCCCGTATTTGCTCAGGTTATCACAGGAATCCTCAACTTTAGCTCAACGCTCCAATCTTTATTAAGGCCTTTGCCTCAGCAAGATGAACCTTCATGAGTCACAGCAGTCACCTGCCCCTGCCGCCCGCTCCCACCACGCGGATATTCGCTACCTCCCGGCGGCGCCAGCCTAAGGCAGCAACGGGTCCAGCTGCAGCAGACGCGCTCTGCGGCAACGTCTACATCCCCTCTGGCCACGGCCTCAGCGTTGCCCATGTGCGCGGGACGCTGACAGTCCAAACGCATCGGCGCAAGTTGCACAATAGCATGGAGACATTCGTGGCCATGGCTTTGTGTTAAAGCACCAATCTAATAACAGAGATCAAAAGCTTAAGGGATAATTAGCTGCTTTGTTAAAAATACTGTAAGTAACAACAACAAAAAAAGTGGAAAGATCATTCTTTGCCTTTGACTTTTTCGTTCCTTACTTTTCAGGGTTAGGGTCACAGGAGTGTGTCCTGCTACAACCTTACCTGTCACTAATCTTTGCTTTTGTTTAATAATTAAAATTCTGGAGCTGTGGATCTTATGCATGTTGTTTTGCATTTGGTTCGCACCTCTCGTGTCACACAAAATTAGGGTGCTTTTGGCACCTACTTGTGTCATCCTTCATTTTTTTAGACTTTTGCTGGTTAACGTGCACAATAAGCATCTCCTTCTCCTCCCTTTCCTCCACTGACTCCATGTGAACTGTAGAATCTAGATTGTGGAATTAGTAGAAATTTCATTTAAATGAACATATTTAAATGAAGAAATAGATTGTTACACAATCAGGGGACCCACAAAACAGAATAGCAGATTTTATATAGTGATCATGAGAATTATCACTGTTAAATATTATTTTACAAAGTTAAGAAAAGCAACAAAGGAAGGTTGAGAACTATTATTACAAATATGCCATGAAAAGTGGCTGTGGAGTTGGCACAAAAGAGAGCGATACACAGTTCTCAGCACAGAAGCTGCAAGGAGGCAGGTCTTCCAGGTAACAGCTCCCTAATGTATTACAGCTTGGACTACCGTATGTCTCTTCTAGGCGGGAAGGAGCTGATGTAACTCCGGATGGGATCTTTCGCTCCTGTTCTAATAACAATTTGGAGATGTTGTAGAAGGACAACAAGGTCCTTCAGTCAAAGTCTGCTGCTGTCGCCCCAGCAGCATTCAGCCAAAAAACCCACAGAATTCAGGTCTTGAATTTACTCCCGTATTTGAGAGGGCCATTTGTTGATCTATCAAGCTTTGAATAACAGCAAATCCAGCTAGGTTTTTGGAAAGGAACAATCCACTCCTTCCAATGTTTACAGTCAGGTAATTCAAACTGTATTTATTAGCTTCACCTGAGAGTGAGTTTTTAGTTTACAAATATAGCCTGGGGCCTTGTTTTTCAGTTGAGCATCATGGAGTATCGCCAAGAGCGCAGTGAAGATGTAGATGTTTGTACCACTGAAGAAAGTGAGCCTCAAAACCATACAAACCTCGTAACAGTGGCATTAGATTCAGAACAGTAGTATGAACTGACTGTGTGCGAGACGCAAAGAGGATCAGTGTAAGAGCACAACAACTATTCCCAAGACCAAATCCAGTATGTCTCAGCTTGCCAATGCGCATCGCAGAAGTTATGTCAGTATTTAGGACAAATTCCATTGACCAAACAAGCCATTCCCTTCTAGACTACCTTCAGTCTCCAAGTGGATGCAAACAGAAGTTGCATGTGGAACGTGTTACAGTTTCTAACAGTAGTCTTAAAAAAAAAAAAAAAAAAGTATTGATCATATAAAACTCTCCATTCTGAGGGAAAATTAATGTAATCACATGGACAGGAGGAAAGTCATCTGAGAATTGCTACACAATCCCTTAAAAACAGCAAAACCCTATATTAAGAATTTGAGCAGGAGAAACTAGAAAAGCACCTCAGTTAGTAGGCAAATCTGATCCAAGTACAATCTTCTGGTTTTCTCCTGTAGTTTATGACATCTGATTTGGAATTCTGGCACAGACTTAAGGTTGTTGAGCATTGGATAAGAAATTTTAAAGCATTGACTGCGACACAAACCAGGTTTAAAGCTGGCTATAATGACCATACTGGAAATCCTTTCTCTTTGTTATCTCTTCTAACAGCCTCACCTACACACTGAACATGAGGAGAAGCAAAAGGTTGCAGGAAATCCACAGGGACGCACTCAAGCAGAAGAGCAAATGCTAGTAAAAAATATCCCCTGGGATCTCCCTGAGAGAGAAAAACGGAGCCACTGAAAATCAGCCATATGTAGGGTCATCAACTGCATCAACAACCATGAAACCTAAAACAGGTAGTCAAGAGACTTAACTGTACTAGCCTAAGCACCTTCTCTATCTTCATTATCTGGATCATCTGCCACAGGAATCATATATTGCGTGCATACAATGAGGTATAAACTCAGACTGACAAGAACTGGGAAGATGTGAAACATCTGCCTATACAAGACAGACACTTTCTAAGAGATACCGTGGAAGAGTTAGCTGGGTTGCCTTGCATCTACTCTTGGCTTCTTGATAAGAGACAGGAAAACAGCTTTGTCAGATGCTGGCACACATCTTTCTACTGCTAATTATAAGAATCACAAAACATACCCCAAACTCTTTTCTTTCAGCATGGTTTCCTCATGGTAGAACTATGGTTCTCCCAAATGATATTTTGTGGCTTTTTGAGAACTCAGCAACTGGGTGAAATACTTTTTTTAGTCAGGGGAGCCGTGATTTTTTTTCACTTTTGTTTGTGGGTTCTTATGAATTCAATGAAAACTATACTCCCCAGCTGAGCCTGGCACGCTATCACCTGATTATCAATATGTCAATTGTTGGTAATAAAAATCAGCTACTAAGCAAGCCACTATCTCCTATGCTAACTTCAATCTTGGGGCTGACTTAATAAGTAGCTACATGTAGACAATGCGGCTTGTCTGCTAAGGCTGGTGTAATCAACGAGTTAATTAGAATTGTAAATGCTTTGTTCTCATGTTGAGAGATGTGCCTCACTATAAGAGAAGCTCCGTGACAGGGGAAAATATATTTTTCATTATAATTGTCCCTTTTGAAAAAAAAAAGCCTCATTTATTGGCAGCATGAGAGTCCAAATGAGAGATTATAATCATTTTCAAATAATCTCTTTCCAATTTAATTTCATTATTTTTTATTTGCAATGCTTGAACTCTCTTGCTTTCTTGATTTTCATATTGTCACAAAGCTCCTGAAGCTATTCTCACTATGTCATCTACCTCCATCAGGATAAAGACCGCACAGAACTGCATACAATAAAAACAAAATAAAAGCTGTGTCTTTTAGCTCAAAAGAGTAACACCAGTAGTTTCCAGCTCTGCATTGAAGGGTGAAGTAAACTGAGGTCAAGTGATACTGAAACTCATTTTTGAAAATGTTTCACATCCCATGTTTGTTTTTTCTTTAAGAGGACTTGCATCATGTTTTCTTTTCCTGGTTATTGTTTTTTCTTTTATGGACTACTCAGCACCAACGACAATACAGCCACTCTCTCTAAATATTTTGAAACTGTGACACTGTCTCCAAATATTTTGAAAAGCCTATGTTGTGTACAAAATAAATAAATAAATAAATAAATAAATAAATAAATAAAAATAAAGGCTCTATGTGGCCAGCTGCAAAAATAAGGGCTTTTGCTGTTACTTTACTTCTAAACCACAATAAAAAATTGCTCAGAGACTTTATGCAGACTGGTTATCTGCAGCCCTAAACATATCACCAAGGTGAATATGTCTCATTTACTCCCATTATATAAGAATATAATTATGTAAGAAAAACGAGCCATTAACTAACTGGGACAGCACCACAGAAATCCAACTCTTGTGTCAGGTCTCACGCAGGTTGGGTTTTGATTTGCCCTGTGTGGCTTTCGGGTTGCTAAAAGAGCAAATACAGAGAACGGGAGGTACCGAGCTCTCACCGCCTCTAACGGCACGGCCGCAAGAGCCGCGAAACGCAACAGCCCCCGGCTGCCATTACCACTACCCCCTTCCCCATGCTGAGGGACTTAAGAACAATAACAAAAACACAGACAGGCGGAGCAGAGCGAGGCGA